GCGCCTCTTTTAGACAATGCCGCGTTCTTCCAGCTCCTTTTAAACGACACGAATGGCTTCTCGGAGGCGAACCTTGCGTGCTGCTCGCCCTCGTGGATTTCCCAGAACCTGGCGCCTCTTTTTGGTGGGGGCGGAAAATGTTTCGAAGTGATAGGGGGCAAGAGGGGCAAGGGGGTCGGCAGAGTGGGATAAACTTCAGCTACTACCTCTCCCACCCTTTTCTCCCACTTAATTCTTCCATCGGAAATCAAATTATAAATCACGATAAGCCACCCCTCCACGCGTCGCAGAAAAACGAAGGAATAAGCTATCATTATTGGGAAACATTTGGGGCCAGCAATTGGGGGAAACGTGCAATATTAAATGGGTGGCCATCGACCCTTAAGTCCCGCCTCTTCGCGTAGAGAGAAGGCGAAGGAACCGCGGATCTCATCCTCGGGCGACCGAGATGACATCCTGGAACGACCGAGATGACATCCTCGCGGTCCCACTGGAGACCGGATCGAGTCGATTTCCAGGGTCTTCGCATTTCTCATCGCGAACGGATGGGCTAAAAATAGCCGGGAAATTCTCCTCTTTCGTCCGACTCCTCCGGCTTCGATCGCGTTTTAGGTGCAAAAATGTTTTCGAAACGGAGTTGATCCCGGCCGAGACCACGCGGAAGAGCTGAAGGCGAAACGGCGACGTTCCCACGATGCGGAACCGCGGCGGACTTCGATCATCCGAGGAAAATCGATGCTGATTTACGTATAAATGGAAGAGGTTTGGATTTACCACGTGGGCGGGGGGGGGGGGGGAGGACGGACAACACCCGCAAATGATAAGGCTTACTCTGGGGAACGACCCGTCCAAAAACGGAATTCACTGAAAGCGTCGCAAGAGACAAGCGCAAAAATGGAAATCCCAATCCGTCCGCGAGAAGGACGATGCAAGCATCATCCACGTGGACGACCCAAACGGAAGATCCTATTGGATGACGCGGATCTGCGGGCGGAGGACCTCCGGGGGTCGGTTATTCACGATTCTCTCGTGTCAGGGGGAGGAACCTTTTATTTACGACGTTCGTGCGCGCGGGCGGGGACGAAATTCCCGGGCGATCCCATTAGCAATTCTTTCTTCGCTTCTCCCACCTTCGGGCGAAAATGCAGGGACAGGGCAGGCCATTCTCGCGGAACGCGCGAAATTCCTTTTTTTTTCGGAAGCCAAGGAAAGGCTAAAGGCACACGAGCGATTCCGGGACAAATCGCCGTCATTCCGGGAAAAATCCGCAATTTCCTCTCGAGGAATCCTCGAGAAATCGCATGGGGCGATGCAAATCGATTCGTGACGTCATTGATGCCGCTGATGCGATCAGCCGTGGAGAGAGGAAAAAAACTCGATCGCTCTCAGCAAGAGCGAGTGCCTACTCGTTTTCCTCCTTTTTGTTTTTTTTTTTGTTTTTTTTTTTTTTTTTTTTTACTCTGATGAGAGAGAAGAAAATTGCTCTGTTTATTTTTGTTTTTTTTTTTGTTTTTTTTTTTTTTTTTTTTTTACTCTGATGAGAGAGAAGAAAATTGCTCTGTTTACCTCTTTTTGCTTTCAGAGTAAAAAAAAAAAAAAGCGGCAAAGTGGATTCCTGGATCATTTCCTTGGTTGTTTTGCTCGAGAGAGCATGGAATGGAATTGCCTCGCTTCTCGTGTGACGCGGGCGAACGGATTCCAGGGTCAGCCGATCCGGATTTCACACGAGAGGCAATTCAATATCGCAGGAGCTAATTATTTTACGGCGTGGTAAGGCATGGTACTGCATGAAATTGATGCTCTTTTTCGAATTCGTCGTGAATCGAGGATGATATCCAGACAGTCGCCTGTGGGATTTGCTCTCGGTCGACACGATCGACCGTCTGGGCCACGATGCGAGGTTGGGACGCATTAAATGCAAACACGCGTCGGTCGATAAAAGGCGGAATAAAAAAAGAAAATTAATTGAATCCGTTTAGTCCTGCCCGCCATGATGCAAAACGGGGGAATCCTCATCCTCGCGGGTTCAGATGAGGATGGAGATTCCCTTCGCGTCCGCCCGTCGGATGAGGAGTGGACGCGACGTCCTTTCGAAGCCGCCTTCTCGTCCGTCGTGTCGCCTGAAGGCGGAAAAAGAGGAAGGAGGTCGGTGAGGGGTTCCGTTCCGTTTTGCTTCGACCGGAGCCATTCGCGGCGATCGTCGGGGCCATTCGCGGCGATCGGTGGGATCGGGGAAGACACGTGCAGCGCCGTCCCGATCTGACTTTTCTTCTTTTACAGACTTTGCGATAGAAGAAATGTTTGATTTGTCATTCTAGGCACTTTCCATCCTTGAAGTCGGACTTCGAGGTGACTGCTCCCGTTCCGCGAATCGTAAGAGCTGTCAACCTCGCAAAAACCTGTATCCGCACAAGAGAGGGAATTTCGATTTCAAAGCGTTTTTTTTTCTAAAGGTTTTCTGTCCGCTCCTCGGGGCCTTCGTGCCCCCCTTTGGAACCTTCCTTCGGCGGAAAAGGTGAGAACACCCGCTGCTCCGCTCATCTTTTTTCCTTTAGACGCTTTTTCAGGTAAGTCGATCGCAAAGCTGTCGGACGCACCTGGCAGATGCAACCGCGATGAGTCCCCCTCCCCTCCCCGCCCCGCCCCGGCCCACCTCCCCGGTGAGACGAAGTGAGTCTCATTCGGGGTGGAAAATTGAAGGGCCACCATCGTGAATATTTTTAGCCGTACAAAAATGCCACAATTTTTAGTTTTTGAGTTGTTATTTGTACTTATTTATTTATTATCATATTTATTTTACTATTACGGTAAAAACTCGTGAACTCGAATCCTGATGAGTCCAAGTTCCGGATACCTCGAACGACATTTTCATTCCCGCTTACGATTTTCTCATGGTTAAAATCCGGGTGCGAAAGAGGGAAAAATGATCGGAGTTAATTATCGATTAATCAGTTAATTAATAATATCGATTATCAGGTTTAATCCTCTACACTGCAAGGGAGGAGTGTAGAGGATTAAACCTGAGGATTAAAACTGAAAAGCTTCTGCTGTAAAAAGAAGCAATCTCCAGCACTTTCCCGGTCTGTCTATCCGGCCATTCCAGTCGTATTTGGTTTCCGGATGAAGGGCGTTGCGAGGAATGAATTTTGCATATGGAATAGCAAAAAGTTTTCCTAGACATGAATAAGGGGCAATTACAACGTGAAGGTCGGCGCTCATTGAAATCGGATTCACGAGGACGGAAAAATCGCATTATACCCCTTAGCGTGATAATATTATTTTAAGGTAATTAATCGATAAAAATTCCCAAGAATTTTCTCTCCCGGGAAACGAACTCATCGGGCCTTGTCAGAAGACACGGAAAACTTCTTCGCCGCGATTAGGGGGAATTCCCGCCAGTATGAATTTCCCTCGCGATTCCCTCCGACGTTCTGCGTGCCAAATTTCTGTCAAATTCCGAGGAAAACCTTTTATCGTCGTTTGGCTCCACTGACGAAGCTTTCGATTCTTCGAGTTCCGCGTTTTAAAGAGGTAAAACGCGATAAGAGAGCGCGAAAGTACACATTTTATGATGATTATTATCAACGTTTGTGCTTAGTGATACGGAAAGACTCCATGTTAAAAGTCCTCGCGAATCGCGAGCGATTGGCTTGATGATTAGCTAACAGGGAGCCGGCATTCACCGTATCGTGGATTTACGAAATCTCTTCATCTTCTGTAGCCATCGTTGGCCGTCGCCGACGCTTCGAATGAACTATCGGCTGTCTCGTGGCGACATTTACCGGATTTACAACCGGATTATGGTCTATCGTGGTATTTGTTGTCTGGCTAGAGTCGGCGACAAGCGAGGGCGAATTATTTATATGAGAATTCTTTCACATTATAAAAAACTTTATCCCTATCGTCGACAAGAAACTTTCCGGGATTTATCCACCAATTTACCTTCTATGTACAAAATATCATGTTAAATCTTGGAATCAGCCGGTTTATTTTGGGAGTTTTAATCGCATATTTGATCCTAAATCTGGAAAGGCGATCACGAACTGCAAGCGAGATCAGAAACTGAACCCGAAACTCCGTAATGGTGAATTACGCCAAGGGAGAATGGTCATCATTTGCGGTTATTTCTAAATACTAACGTGCGTAAGTAAGTACTGCTCTCCAGTGAGAGGAAACGACAGAAAATCCTGCAGATTCCGACTCCAACTCGGATCTTTTGAAGCCTCTTCCCAGGAAAGCCGAATCGAATCCCATTCACCGAAACGAATCAAACGAGTTCCGAGGGAAAAAAAAAAGAACTCTTTGGAATGAGATTCGAATCCGCAAGAAATTGAATCGCGTTCTGAGGGCTGCCAGAGAGGAGCGAAGCTCATGGGCGATCGGGAATCGAGCAATCAAGCAATCGTTGCTCGGGCGATTCATCAAGGATCAAGCTGTTGCCGTTGAAGATATTTTTTAAATGTCATTTTGTCTCGTGAGAGTGTGTGACATAAAGCTGCAATTAAAAAAAATGATGTTAATGAGTTCTACAAATTTCCACAAAAAAAAGTTCCAAGCAACAAACTCTGTCCCATTTTCACCAGGACTTTATGGAAATTTCTAGTGTAAATCAGAAAGGCAAGAAATGAAGAAAATGTAAAAAAAAAATACAATCTGCAATTTGCATGAAGTATGATATAATGGACTTCATGGCTAAAAAAAAAAATATTTCTTCAATTACTGGGTTCTTATGGCTGAAATTCACCTGAATTCTGCAGCCAGTCACAAAATGAAATGCAGACATGAATAACCCCAAATACAAATGTCCCTGAAAATTTGCGAAATGCAAGAATAATGAACTTAGAATCGATGCAAATTAGATTCATGAAATTCTGAGAAGAGCAAAAAACGATGCACTTGTAATTTTTGTAATCAGTAATTTTGATCATCACATCACTGATGTACTTGCAAATACAATTGCAAGTACATTGGAGATATGATGTTCTTGTGATTGTACATCAGGTCACTTGTACTGGGCATAACTGCATTTCCACGCCAGGATCCCCCTACGCTTTGGTGAATGCACGAGACGAGAGCGGGACGCTCAATTTGAGAATGGGACACTCATTCGCTGTCGGTGTCGGAGTCGAGGAAGCATCGGAGACGGGAAAGGCGCTGCTCCATCTCGGACTTCTGCTTTTTCACCGGGCTCGGAGTGTCCTCTCGACTCGTGCTTCTCTTCCTTCGGTTTCTCCTCTCGCCCCCTGGACCTGCATGCAGGCATCCATCATGAGCTCGGCACGGAAATCTGCCTTTTCCGAGCGACAGACTTTTTCGCATTTTCATGAACCTTCCAAGAGCATCACGATGAAACACTTTTCAGGCAGCTGGTTTCCTTGAATATTCTATAAATAATTATTCTAACTTACTGAAAGGGCTGTAGAATTCGAGTTCTCTTCAAGTCCACAATTAGCAAACCAGTACCTTCGCACCTTTCCTCTACAGGCGATATTGCCTTGATGAAGTCAAGAGAAACTAGGAAACTAGGGTTTCATGCTGCATTTCAATAATACTTCATAAACTTCCCCACTTTCAGTTGGAATTGCAGTGCGGATGTGCTGAGTGTCTCCGATGAGTTCATCCATTTCTTTCTTCAGTTCCAGCTCGATACGCAGTTCCTTACATTTCTTAATCGTTGGCCTCCCTATGAACACAGATAATGAGACATGGAAACAGCAGTGAGAAAGAGACATTTGCAACATTAATATGTAGAAGTTTCAAATTCTCTTTTCTTGGGTTTGAATATCAGACCTTCCTCAAGCTTTAACTGCATCATAAATAAGCAGAAAAAAAACAAGAATTGATTCATTGGTTATAGAAATGACCTTGTGGTGGACTTGATCCATTTTGACATGGGACTTGGTTGGTTGAAAACTCCTTTTGATAATCCATTGCTGTGACTTCTGCGACCCAGAAGACTGGAAGACGACGAATGAATCAACAGCAAAGATGAACATATTTGAACAGTAGAATTTTATTTCAAGTGGTTGTAACGATTAAATTTAAGGAAATAGACTCGAAGAATATTTCAAAGGGATCAACAAAAAAATATTGCATTGCCATGTCTCAATTCATTCGAGGCAAAGAAAATATGAACATTTTCAAGAAAAAAAAACAAAGCAAGCAGGGAAAATTTTTTTCTGTTTCTTCAGAATGCACCATCATGGAAAAGAGTGGTTCATGTCATTGCATGCTTTGAATCACTTCGGTTCAAGAACGCTGTAATAACTTGAATCACAATAGCACAAGATTCCATTTAGCAGATAGTCAAGGAATCTTTCTCTCCATTTTGAATAATTGTAAACTGAACCATTGTGATTCTATCTAGCTGGGCTGGTAACAGAAAAATAGCATGAAACATAGGAAGGAGAAGAAAAGGAGACACTGAGACAGAGTGCAAGGAGATGGTTGTTGGCTGGAATGAAAAAGGGATGACCATCCACTCATGAAAGCTGCTGGAATTCCACATTACTGATACACAAGACACTTCTAAATTCAAAAATACTTAAAAAACCAAAATATTTCCTGTTTACCACATTTGTGACTAGTGGTAAGAATTTGGCAGAGTTTGGAGCAAACAGTAATCCTGAACATGTTGATGGAAGTTTCACAGCGACATACAGACATCCAGGTCACATCATAAACAGGCTCAATTATTTCTCATAGGAGAGAGGTTCACTAAAAAGGGGGGGAGGGGGAGAGCAGAGAAAAAATACAAAATGGGACACTGGCATCTTAAGGCACCATATAAGGCACCACAAAAAATGAGATTTGAGGGAAGCACACATGTGAATCCCAAGAAAAAAATTTCAAGCCTAGAGTGGGCCTTTAAACTGAGGGGCTCAGGGGTCTAGGCTATTTAAGAGAATTGTAGGTGATTAATATGGAAGTCTTGGTGCACAGGGGAAAGTAAGAAAAGGTTCACTGAAAATACTGAGCATGAAACTTGAATTGAAATCCACAACAGAGCAGTTGAGCAGCCTCTGCATCACAAATCTTCGTATTTATCATGGACTAGGTTCCGCAGAAGGAGCCAAGATAGCCTAGGAATCTAGGATCACCCACAGTAATGGGAAATTATCACAAAGGCCTGGACAGGACATCTGCAGCGTTCGAAGGATGTCCGTTCTTGGTAAAGCCTTGCAGGACGGCACGGAGGATTCTCATGCGAATCTCATGCTCTTCCTCCTTGATATCCAACTCCCGTCGAAGGAGAAGCATCTTGGCTGCATGTTCCTCTCTCAATGTTGCTGCTTGGAGATCCTCAATAGGCCCTTGTCCTTGCCCATCTTTTTCCCTGGGCTTGTCATCTTGTGCATGTCTCTTGTCTTTGTGATGAGAGGCAGAGCTAGTTCTGGTGGTGGGTGGGGTTATGGTCTTGGTCATTGATGATGGAGGCCTCCCTCTTGGTGCTTTCTTCACTTCACCAGAGGAGGGCTTGGCTCCTTTACCCGCTGGAAAGACAGTAGCGGTGCAGCATACAATGATCATGCACAATAATAAGGCCAATTAAATTCTTCCAAGATAGAATAAGAAAAGAGCTTAAGGCAGTGGTTCTCAACCTGGGAGGTGTCACCCCCCCGAATGCATGAAGGTTCAATGGGAGTAAAAGGAAGGTTGAGAACCACTGGCTTAAGGACAATTACAACTCATTGATGTCATACAATGGGCTGGCAGGCAAGGTCTACAACAGCTGTGTGTCCTATGTGAGCATGCATTGGGCTGTCTCAACAAATTCAAAGATGTAATGGAAATAGACAGAAATTGCAGGGCTGTTTTTTCTTTTCACCAAAGCTCAAGGTGAAAGACGGTGGCTGCAGTGAAAAGTAGACACTCTCATGCAGAAGAATGAAGAAGTTGCTGATCAACAAGCAAGCCAAGATGTATGATCCTACAAGCCTCAAAGTAAAGGAAACTAGCAAAAGATAAGGAGATTTTAAATACAATTTTACTTATTCATTTAGCCACATAAAGGTCTTTTCTTTAACTTATTTTCTTTCTTTCTATCAGAGGAGGCTATCTGCCCTCTTGGTTTCTCTTTCAGCATTCATATGGAGAAATAAAATCATTAATTTCTCACCCTGCTTAAAGAATATAGTGACACTTCTTTTAAGTCATTTGAGAAATTATAGAACATGCAATCTGTCCATTCTTTTGTTTTTTTTTTCATAAATTGATATGAAAAAAATTTAGTTTGATATGGTGCCATTTCACAAGTGTGAAAATTAGTAGTCAAGCAATTCTTTATGCATGGAATTTTCTATTTAGCTTCCCAAAATTTTTCCATTTAATATGGTGAGCATGATCCTGTGAATGATGTCACATCCACTAAATGCCCTAACAATACTGCAGTAACGTCAACAGTCCTAAAATGATCCTGATCAGGAGTCATTCAGCTCCTAAAAGACTGCCTTTCTTTGAACTTGAAATTAAGCAAAGTGACTAAAAGATTCTCTTTGATTCTCTCTGAATGGGGATGTCACTCATTTCATATTCATTTTGAGATATAAATGAAGAAAATGGCATGGAATTCAAACGTTTCACAAATATCCTTAATATTGACACAGACAGAAGATTTTCATTGCTCATACTTTTAAGGTTGAACAGATCAATGAGTGATAAGAACTTAAGAATATTACTCCAGGTCTAGAAACTCTGATAGAATTCTAAAGACAATTCTGGGGATGTATGGATTGTAATGACAAAGAGGTACTTCCACCCTTGCATAAGGGCAGACCAATGTTCTCCAGTCAATCCATCTGCACAAATGGATATGAAAAAAAAATGAAGAGGCATACAGGAAAGCAACTAGGATGACTGGGGAAGTCAGGGGTGTTTCCATGATGAAAGATGGCTTGACCTTTTTGCTTGCTAGTTTCCTGACAGCCAAATGTCCATGTAACACTATCTAATACTTTAATTGAAAGATGTTGAAAGTTGTGATGGCTCTCACCCCTAGTGCATGCGGCCTACGATGCTATGCCATTCTGGGCCATAGGCTAGGCCATCTAATACTTTAATTGATTTTATTTGTGAAGTGTGATCTTGATAATTAAATTAGCTGGGTGACAACTCTTTTGAACCACTTGAGGTTTATTTGAAAATTTTTTATGGTTGGATTGAACCAAACTGCTTCATATCTTTATGCAAACATTTTCATATGTCTGCCCATTAGACAGCCAGTGTAACAGTCAGAGGCCGCTAGTTTAACGTATAACTAATCAATTTTTTTTGCATAAACACAATAAAATCATTGCTCAACATGTGACCATGCAATTGTTGAAAAATATTTACTACTACATAATAGCTAATTCATATATAATTTTTTAAAATCAACCTATTGCATACTTGGCTGTAGAAACCTTAATGCAACAGCTTGGTAGGTTAACTCTTCTGGTGTTATGTACATCAATAGCTGTGGTGTGGCTATAGACACGCTACCACTTGGGGCTTAGTGGGTTAAAGGTCAATCCTGGTTGAGGCTCTTAAGTTACTAAGGAGAATTAATAAGAATGGAATGGAGAAAATTTTCCACTCTCCATGATCAACTTTCCACAAAGGAGCATTGGCTGAAATTACACAAGCCCAGGGCAGGTGGGAAATTAAGAAAGGACTTCTTCACTCAACATAATAAGGGAATGGGGATGATTAAGAATAATTAGGGTTTGCCACATATCACAGCAGAAGATGCAAATGAAGGTACCACCAAGAAAAAGATGATAGTGTCATTCAAGAGTGAGACATCTAGCCATAGTGAGCATGCACAACCATTGATGTTGTCAGCTTTGATTTTGGATCCTTTTATATCAGTTTTCAAGAAAAAAAAAGTCTAAAGGCTAAAATGAAAAAAAAAAGTATAAAAGGATGAAAGTTCATTCATCTTCAAGAGCAGATATAGGCCAAGCACATAGGGAAATGGAACCACCTCAGTCTTTTACCTCTGAAGGTCTCCTAGGGTCTCATGTGTTCTGAAATTCATACAGTATACAGGTCTTTCTCTTACACAGCCAGTAATTCATAGTTGAGAAATGAAACATGAGACCATTCTTCAACCACATCTGTTCATCAAGTGACCAACTAGTAGTGCATGGTAGAACTAGCAATAGAAAACTTCACCTATTTTAAGGGATATGAAATATACAAGAAATATTTGACATTTATAGAAATTAAAATTCTTTTCCATGAGAGACATTTTTCAAAGGGTATGGAAGGGGAAGGGAAGTTGGCAACACACTGCATGCATGGTACAACCATTAGCTTTCAGTCATACATGCTTTTCTGACATTAAAACTTCTCCTGACATGTTAGTTTAAATATTACCTCAAATATGGCAAATTAAGCATAAAATCCAAAAAAAAAACACTATGCCAATGAGCATAATCTAAAGCACACCTGCCAAATGAAAAATCCCATCATGTCATACTCAATAAGGTAACATAAATGGGAGCACTGTAGATCTAGTCAAATCAGCTGATTGCACCCTAGTGATTTTTAGTTTTCAACACCCCATAGGCTCATCAACTGGCTTAGTAAGGACCCATTTGATTGGAAGAATTAGGCTCTTATCTAAATTGCTTGAGCACTGTTGCTTAAAAATCAATATGCAGCATCATATAGAATATTAAAAAGTTCTGGGTGCTTCATGGTTGCAATCACATATTGAAAAATATATATGCAATATACACACACACACAAAATACATAAAACATGAGACAACATGAAACAATGAGAAGTCATTCAGCTTGATGTTCTCAAAGAACAAAATCACAAGGTGAGGGTTGAAAGCAGGAAAAATGTGCACTGCATGGGGAAGGTCTGACATTCAAATTCACATAAGCAAGGAACATTAAATTGATGACAGACCTTTGATACCTTTCTCCTCAAGCAGACCCTTCATTCGGTCAATCTTCTGGTCAAGCGTGCGGCAGCCTAAGAAAAGCTTCTCGTATGAAAGCACACGAATCCCTGCTGTTCGTAGGTAGCCTTTCATCTCCTCAAGCTTCTTTTTCTCCTGAAAACAAATATGCATCTCAGATTTTTTTTTTCCACTGGGTTCATTCCATTGCCAGTGCTTCACTAATATAATGATTTAAGCACACTAACTCACTGAAACACCAATGACATTCAATTTTAATTATATCACAAAGGTCACCACCAAGAAGAAGTTCAAATGGATGTATGGAGTTTCTCCACAAAAGGTTTGCAATAACTTAATTATGAAAATGTTACATGTAAGTTACAGCATTACACAGAGGGGAAAATTAATTACTATGGAAAATAAGAAGGATAATTAATATAACACTTTGATGTAAGGAAAAATCAGGCAGTTACAGAGATGATAAATCACAGTATTCTGTATATGTAACAATACTTATGAGAGCACAGCTCAGAAATGTTAAAAGAGAGGAATTTTCAAGAAAAAATTCATTTTTAGAAGCTTTTTGGAAATCTTTTAATACACGAGTAGCTAACTCACGTGTTCTTCCTTCTCCTTGGGTTTCTTCCTCCTCAAATCTTCCTCCTTTTCATCATCCAAATCACTTGATGAGCTGTAGAAATCCTTCTTGACCTTGGACTTGAGCATGTTGTCATCATTTTCTTCATTTGAACTATCCAGCTTGATCAGAGGAATCTTGGCAACACTCTCATCATCTCTGAAATCTGATCTCTTCTCTGAGTCCTTACTAAAAAGGTCCTCATCATCAGAATCTGAACTGTAAACAAGAGTCTTCCTACCTTCCCCCAATCCCTTCTCCTTATGTGGTTTTTCAGATTCTTTCTTGTACTTTCTGGAATGTCTGGATTCTGTCTTGCTCTTGACCCAACTTGACGGCTTTTGATGCTTCACCGATGTCATCTGCTCACGTCGTTTGCTAGAGTCTTCATTTTCTAACCTCTTGGGTTTTATTTTCTCTCTGCTCTGCAGCACATCAAATTTCTCTGACTCCTGATCTCTTCCTGGCTGTTGCTCATGTCGTTTGCTAGCATCTTCAACATTCAGGATCTTTGGCTTGATCTTCTCTGCACTATTAAACATATCAAAGTTCTCCAAGAACAGTTCTTTTCCTACAAGCGGCTCATGTCGCCTGCTATCTTCATTGCTCAGATTCTTTGGTTTGGTCTTTTCTTCACTTGGTGGCACATCAAGTTTTCCCAATTCTTTTTCTTTTCCTGCCATATGATGACGTCGTCTGGTACTGTCTTCATAGCTCTGGTTTCTGATCTTGGTCTTCTCTTTCCTCTGAAGTACTTCCAAGTTCTCCCTCTCTAGGTCCCTCTTTGTAGTAAGGTCTCTGTCAGTGTTGAGTTGGCTGCCAAAATCACCATTCTCATCTAACCTTATAGGAAGTTTGAGGTACCGGTATCTCTCCAACATTTGGTGATTTCTCAACAAGTCATAGAGGATGACTCTGGGCTGCAGGGTACTGACCTTTGGCACCAGATTTGTCTTGCTGTCACGGTCAATGCTATCTGTGTCCTTCTTGATGAAATTGGACAGAACATAATGACTAGGGTCTGTATTGAACCCTTCCCTCTCCTCATAGTTCATTTTATTGGAAGTCTTCTCCCTCAGCTTCTGGCAGTTCTCCAATGATGCAGGGCCTGAGTGTAAAAAATAATGGATAGGCACACATGCCAGCTGTGTAGAATCACATCTTCCCAGAGATGGCATAAACTCAGAAAAATGAAACCCATCTGTCAAACTGATAAGCTTTTAATAAATAACACGAGCTGCCCTAAGCCATTCCTGAGGCTTCTAGAAACACAGGTATCTATGGTATCCCTTCATATTCATAAAAGTTACTGTCATTTGCTTTTAATAAAAAAAAAAAATTATCTTCCATGGAGCAGTAGTCACATCTAGCCACATTATTGAAAGTAATGGTGACAATATATCATCAAAATGCATTGGAACTGAGCTCAAATAATTGCTAACAGCTATTTATAGATAAATGAGTGTAACAGTAACACTTTTTTTCAGGACATGGATGTTTTTGATAAACACTAGGGTTGTGCTGTTTATAATTATATGATATTTCAATGTTGTCATCAATGATATGTCTGCACTATAATTTTCAACCTAATACTGATAATTCCTGATTACCCTAGTATGCATACAAAGGAAGGTTATATGCCACCATATGCCTCTCTCTCAAATTAAAAAAAAACCTGTATAGGGTGGCTTGATAAATAAAACTAAATGTGGAAGGCATTCTTGTAGCATCACCCCAAACCATTAGACCAAGAGTGCATATGAAGGGGGTGGCAGTTATCACCCTGTGTTACTCCCCCAGTTGCAATATGAAGCTCCTATGATAGAGGGGAGAAATGGATCAGGTATCCCCATACCTCCATGGTATCATTGTGTCATTTCCTCCAGGAGGCCCTTAATCCTCAACTCTATCTCAGTAAATTAAAGATATAATTTAATAAGAACTATGAAGGTCATTATATAGTCCAAGCAGAAAACACCAATGTTCTTATCACTGTGTGTGAACTCAAATGTGTGATTAAGATTTGAACCCTGATGACTTTTCATGCTTCTGATTCTATCTTAATGGGTTGGGAATATCAACTGTTAGATGGCAAGTGATACCAATCCCTTCCAAACCTGTATCAAACAGCCCTAAGAAATACTCCATCAAATGACTTTTTCTTAAAGGATGAAACTGAAGTGAGACTTTCTAGGCCTCTGGGGGTTAATCAATCTTCATTAGAAGAGCCATATAGGACATGACCAAAGGCAAGGCTATGGTATGACTTACCCCTGAGACCAAATTTGCGAAGGAGATCATGCATCTTAGCAATCTTCTCATCATCATCCCTGCAGTCTCGAAAGAGAATGGAGTAGGATGCTACCTTTATCCCAGCTGCAACCAAGCGCTTCTTCATTCGATCCACTTTATCCACCTTTCCTTGCTCCTTAAAGAAACGGATTTTAAAATAATATAACATACAGAGCTCATTTCCCTTTTTTGCCAAGCATTTTGATATGAGACTGAGATGCATTTCTTTGATCAAATCTTACACAGGGGTATTCTGATATTAGAATTACAACTAATGAGTAAATCAGGGCATCAGTAACAGACCACAATTTTAAAATCAAGTCAAAGGCAACCCAAGTACCCCAAGAGTTACAATTACACACCAGCATCTAAAAAATCCATAATGCTGCATTCCTTGAAAATATGAATCCAATTACCCTATCTATAGAAAGTCCATTTATTATTACTCCGAATGAAAAACAAGGCAGAAACTCACAGGAAGCTTGGGAACTTCTTTTTCCTTCATGGTCAACTGAACCTCTTTTGACCCTTGAACTTCAGTCTTCTCTAAGGACTTCTCCTTGGCAGCTTGTTCAACTTCATTTGATGGTCCAATTGAGATGATCCTTTGCTTCTTCTCTGGTAGTCCTGTAGGTTCTGTATCACAAATGGAGTTGCTTGAAGAGATTGAGCCAACTCTCTTACGTTTAGTCTTAGATTTTGAAGAACACGATTCATCTTCACCATCAGATGCTCTTCCCTTCCCCCTATCAGGGACAGCTTCATGAAGACTTTCACACATTGGCTCTTCACGAGATTTATCCAGGATAGAGACTTCCATAGACCCATTTCTTTGATTAACTCTAAGCCTGATGCCAGTGGATTTGCGAGCTGTCAATTTCTTTTTCTGACATGGAATTAGAGAATGCACCTTGACTTCCTCACCATCAGCTGCCACAATGGCCAGGGCAATGTCATCATCCACTTTTTGTTGGGTGGCATCAGCACATGGCATGGCTACATCAGTAAGGCAGGACTCAGTCTTTCCCTCTTCACTGGGATTCCTATGTGTTTGCCCATGAGATTCTGCTTTATCAGGAAGCAGTAATTGAGCTTCCTTCAACTCCTTCTTGCATCCAAAGGATGGGTCAATGTGTCCATTACCTGGGGTTGTTTCAATTTCAATAACACCATTGACTTTACACGAGGCTGCAGGATGCCTTTCAGCATCATGAGTCATGAAATCTTGAAGCACTGCACTAACAGCAGCATGAACAGAGCTACAGCTTCCTTCTGTCAATACCCCATTCATGGCTTCAGTAGGCCTAATGAGGCAAACTGAGTAATGATCAAGTTGTGCAATATCAGAAAATTAGTTGTTCTTGATGCACAACTGATTCAATTCCAACTTAAAGCACTCCAAGCACACATCTATATTCACCAAACCTGCAATAGACTAAGGGCAACACCAGCATTCAATGAAGCTGTTATTGTAAATTTAAAAAATAGTCATGCTACATTAAGATAGTCTAGCACCAGTAGATCTTAAACATTAGCTATGGAGATCTGTTTAGAGATGCTCCTAGGAGCACCTTATTCATCAGAACAAAGCAAAGAAAAGCAGAAAATGTCATCCTTTAGGAACATATAATGTTTGTATCATAACTCTCAGATACAATTTTTTTCTCCAATCCAAATCCTATTTCAAAAAGTCTCCCAATGGTACTGATGCAAGAAGTCTGTTACATGTCTCAAGGAGACAAATAATTCCATTTGACCAATCTAAGACCATGATGTGATTTTATACTAACAGCTTAGGAGAGGAGCAGATAGGAACTACTATGGTTAATAGTATGCTGAATTATCTGTCACAGTAGCATAAATGTGTTGAAGGGGGACAACTATATTTTGGTAGTTGCAGACATCAGAAGCACAATGCTTTCAGACATTTTCTGAGGATCCATGGAGTTTTAGGCCTTATCCAAGGTCATCATTGCATGGCTTATACTCGACTTTTGACTATCTTGACAGCTGTCTTCAGGGGACATATTACACCCAGTGGAATCACTTACATTCAGAAGCATTTTCCATCCAGATATGTACAGTAATATTCAATATTAGGACTTCAATGGATCATCTTCAAATAATTATGTCATTCAGTACAGCTGTTAGATTTGAGGACAGTTAAGTGACACCAAGACTTCAAAAGCCATCACCAAAAGCAATCTGACTGGACAACTATCACTGGTAAGTAGTAATAAGATTTAGCTTATATCAAAGAATTTGGTGTATAAGTGAGAATTGCCCAGAAAATTACATAATTATGTCTTCAAAAGGGGCTTTCTTAAATCTGCATTGTCACTGTAATATTGTAATGCTGCTGATGTTGCTGAGGAGCAACAACTTTCAGTTACAATAATTGCTTGAGTTCAATTAGTTCAGTTAGTTCATCAGTTCAATCCAAGTTAGTGTGTCTGTACCAATTACAATCTATACATTTTCAAAGCATGTCTGCTTAACTCTGGATTTCCATATGTAGTAGAAACAGGTCTTCCTTTACACCAAGTGAACCACTTTGAGATCAGACATAATGCGCTTCTGGAAATAAGCTTAAAGCAAGTTGAGTAGCATTCATGCTACTCAAACAATGAAGAGAACAGTGATTCTGACACAACCAGACTAGGAAGGTCCTTGGGTTGGAAGACCCTCTAAAAACAAATTAAAATATGCCAGAGAAGTAATACTACACAAATTTTGCAGGAGGCCTAAGTTAACCAGTAAAGGCTGCTTGGTGAAGAATATTAGCAAAACCCAGATAGAACTTTAACTCCTTCTATGTCTGATATGTTACGCTGACAGGGATTGCTGCTGTTGGAGCACAATTAATCAACTTGCACCAAAACAACCTAACATATAACTGGCAGCATGGCTGGATGACTGCCAACACTGTTAATGGAAAGGGTTAAGAATGGTCTGAACTTCATTACCACAAGTTCTGTTATTTTCTAATGGTATAGGTTATTCCTCAGTACATGATTGGCTGGAATTCCTTTCTTCATGAAGCTAAATCACACAGACTTTTACAACATTTTCAATAGAAACTTTCACAAAACACCTAGAATAGGTCAATGCTGATTAGTTTAGGCCTACTCTCTGACCTGATGAGACATGTAAACCTCATCATACTCTGGTACACATATCAACTGCTAAAATATACTTAGGTTGAGAGAAATAGAGTTGTTTACAAATGACTAAATTAAATTTCACCATGGTAGGCTTATCACATGAACCTCCAACTCATTCACTTAAGCATATAGCTTTCAACCAGCATCAGGTATTTCAATGAATATTTCAAGGCCTAATTTTCCATATTCATATCAGCAGGGGTGCTCAATTACTCTTCAATACCAGCCTATTCCTTCCTCTCCTATTCAATGAGTAATGGGATATCCTAAGATAGGTCCTAAATCCTTGACCCAAATAGAAGGGCATGTTTTATGAGCCAAGATAATGTAAAAATTTTATTTAGTCAGCTTATAACTGGCTTCCTTTTGCCAGTGATGGGTTTGCAGCAACTGGAAGACAGTACTGCAAGTTCACAATAGTATTTGTTCCAGTAAATTAAACCTCTCTAATGTACTGTTCACCACTAGCTAATGGATATGTCCAAGGTGGGGTTCAGAAAATAGCCACCCGGAAAAAAGACCCCCAGAATTGACAAAAGCAGAAAAAAGCCACCCAAAGAGTGAAAATGTGAAAAAACCACCCAGGTCATTGCTTAATAATTTCTCATTTATATATATTTATATGTATCAGATAATTAAAGACATTAACTTGGCGACCTTAAGACACATTCATGCAGTTATGTGACTGTTATCTATGTTTTTAATATTCAATGAATGGCCACCAATTTTTCAATTAATATATTATTGACTTTTCATTTCCATTCATTGAGAATGGAAAAGCCAAAAACATCTCTCGATTGAAAGCACTTCTTTAAATCAATTCTATAGAAATATTCTTTTCCTACTTTCATAATGTAGGGAAGGACTGTCCTGTTATGAACATGGACTTCAACAGACTTAGGGACTGCGGATGGAAATGGGGGCGGGGGCAATGGGTGGTTCAGGGTGGTGGATTGAGGAGGGGAGCTAATCCTGATCCTCTCCACCCCCCCAGAAAAAGGAGTAAAAGTGGATATGAGGGAGATAAAATAAAAATAAAAACCTTACATGGCCCCAGAGCAATTGTTATTTGAGAAAAAATTCCAAGAAGTGCAGAGAGAGTGCAATCATCTCATCCTGTGACACAGCCAAAATCAAAAGATTTCCAGCCATAATATTCATTTTTACGGAATGGGCTGAAGTTGGACTTTGTTTTATGTTTAATAACATTTCAGTGAAGTTGATCAAATTACATGAAATCAGTATCACTAAATGTCGCAAAAATGAATGAGTCTTTAATCTGACCTGAACATAACTGGATGGCACTTTTCTGCCTTTGTCTAATCTGGGGGTCTTATTTCCAGGTGGCTTTTTTCCTAAAACCTGATAAGCCAAGGACGGAAGAAGTACATAACCGTGGCCGATCGAATCAAGAAAATCGTGTCCGAGTACCATCGGCGCGACTTGGATTCATACCTTGGAGGAATCGCACATAATATAGAATATTAGATCATGTCATATATGTACAGTTTTTCATTGTATGCCACTTTGAACTTAAATTGCCCAATTGATTATATGACTGATAATAAAGAACATCCAAAAAATTTTTCTGTTCGAGTTGAAATGCTTGAATTAGAGAATATGGAGATCGAGATTCCGTCCATTCGAGATTCCGTCTTTCGAGATTCTGTCTGGGACTCTGGTATGGATGGGGTGACAGACATCATACGATCTCCAGCATTAGCGTCAAGGGTCCACTCAATATCCCGCGTCTTCTCTCAGGCTTCTTCTCACTATCCTCCAATTCAACTCTTTGTCCGACTCGCTCACTTGGCACACCCCGACCCCGCGACTCTCCCACGCGACCCTTTTATTCCGTTATCCCGGACATGCGCATTATCTTTTACGGTGATTTCATCATCTTTATTAAAGTACCTCCTACAACGCTCCTTAACATTGATTATAAGATTTTTGCAAAAGTTTTAACTATCAGATTTAAACGAGTGATCTCCATCATCCATAGTGACCAAACGTATTGCATACCAAACCGGACAATTCATGATAATCTTCACCTAATCAGGGATGTGATAAGGTATTCCAACTCCCAAGATATCCCCCTTGCCGTCTTCTCTCTCGACCAAGAGAGGGCTTTTGACAGAGTTCATCATGATTTTCTCATTTTTATGCTTGAAAAGTTCGGATTTCCTCCATCAATGCCATTGAATTTCTTTACAAAAATGCAGAATGCATCGTTCGAGTCTGGAGGTATCTGTCCACCCCCTTTCCTTTTCTAAGAGGTATCCAACAACGTGACCCCCTTTCCGGGTTTTTATACTCCACCTTCATTGAACCATTTTTGCATATTTTTCGCTGTCGATTATCTCCGTTTGCTTTTAATTCTTCAGTTGCTTTTCGTCACATCATGATCTCGGCTTATGCTGATGATGTTACTGTTTTTATCTCCTTGGACCCTGGTTTTTTAATTTTGCAGTTATGTTATGAAGTGTACGCTGCAGCTTCCAATGCTCACCTAAATATTAGAAAGACCCGTAGTCTTTAGTGCGGTTCGAGGCGGGCATCGAGGTGGACTCTCCCGGCTCGTTTTCTTGGTGTGCCGATGGCCTAAAGTTCTTAGAGTTGCACCTCGGAGTCGCGGCCTATGAACTGAAGAATTGGGAAGAAGCAGAAACAAAACTCGAGTCATCCCTTTCTAAATGGAAGTTCAGATTCAAGTTCATGTCTTACCGAGGCCGAACGTTAATTTTAAATCAACTGGTTGCTACGAAGTTGTGGCATATGTTGGCATGCCTTGAGCCTCCCCCTGGATTCCTCTCAAAATTTGAATCTAAATTTCGCAACACCGTCTGGCAGAAGAAACATTGGCTTCATCCCATTTACTTACATAGACCCCTGATCAAGGGAGGTCAAGGTTTGATATCTTTGGAAGCAAGGCGTTTAGCCTTCCGTCTGTGCCATATTAAGAGGTTTCTCATGAATTCAAACGAGCACCCCTCACAATTAACCTTCCTCTACTTTACTAGTCTGGCATGCGACCTACCCATCACAATTGGTCATGGATTCTTTATTCTTTCACCCGGTATTTCCACCTCAGAGGATTGTACTCCACATTATTATTCTGAACTAGTTAGATTTTGGATATCCCTTCCAAGGAGTTTTTCTATGTCCTTTTCTCATTCGGTTTCCTTCCGTCACATACCACTATGCCAAAATCTTTTCTTTTCAAACCTGGGGATATCTCTCTCTCCGGCATGGAAACAGACGCCTTTTCATTCTTTGCATGACCTCATAAGAGGACAGACCTGGTTAGATCTAGGATCAACTGAACTGGAAAAAGTAAGCCGAACAACGCATAGACAAATATCCCTAGACATGAATAAAATTAAAAATAAGGTGCAACTCCATTCGCTTATTCATGATTTTCCTAAAGGAGCTCTGCTCCTCTCTAACCATCGCGTATGATGAGAAAAAGAAAAATGTCCATGTAGCGATTCTTTCCCGTACCTCTGTGTATGACATTGCCCTTATTCATGTGTTCTCAAATTTCAATGTTTCCTTTCCCGCACACCACCTTGCAACTCTAATTACAAGATGCACTTCCTTCTCTCCGACGTGAAAAGCACCATATAGAAATCCATCATCAAAGTCTGATGGAGATATCAGCTGGCGTTTATTACATAATAGTTTATCCTCACCAGCCTTATCCAATAAGATGAATACCGAAATACCACCATCATGTCCCTTCTGTGCCCAAACAGGGACTTTGATTCACATGTTTATATTTTGTCCCTCTTTGGATCCTCTTGGAAATTATCTCAGTAAGCTCGTCTCTAACCTACAGCTTTAAATTTTTTGCCTGGAATCATGAATTAGTATTGGTATATGAGAGGGGAAGTCAGTATTCAGATTACACATGGAATCTGTGCTACCTGCAGGTCCTGGGAAAGGAATATTTTGTCCCTCTTTGGATCTTCTTGGAAATTATCTCTAAGCTCATCTCTGAAGTTAACCAAGAACTAGTCCTTGATATGAAACTGTTTTTATTTCACAATTTTCCCAATGGTAAACTTTATAGTCGCCAAATGCGATCTTTGACAGATTTCATTTTGACACTTGCCAAATCAACTATTTATAAGACTTATATGAACCATTTGAAACGTGCATCTCATGATCCCCCAAAATATTTAGTTATATTTCAGGAAAGGCTGCGTTCCAGGATACGACTTGACTTCCAAGTATCGTGCGTCCAACAAGGAAACGTTGAAAAATTCAACTCTACATGGGAACCATTGGCTGAAACAGAAGAAGGAGACACACTCATTTTCAATATAGAATGACATTTGGTGGAAGACGTTTTCCCAAACCTACAAGTCAAATGGGGAAAAAGGCTGGATTGCTGGTTAAACGGGTAGCACCCCTAGCATGACCAAGAGGAGGTTCCGACCCTCTTGGAGGCGGGAGCCCAATTCCAGCATCCATGCCAAAAATTTCCTATAGAAATATCTCAAGAATGTGATTAAACGAATTTGTACAAAGAGTGCTTTTAGTCATGCCCAACCCAATCCAATTTCTCATTGTGAAAATGTTAGTGACTGGAATCTTTCTTCTTTTACCAAATGTTTTTTCAAGCAGCGTACCTCCATTTTCTGTACTTGTATATATGCATGATGAATTTTATTTTTGAGACGAATTAAAGTCCATTTGAAATCCTGGGAAAGGAATTAATCAGGGGATTGAAGAAAACCATTAGCTTTAGTTAGGTTCACATGGAAGTATTCAAACTCTTGGAAAATGTAGACATGATATGCCTAGTAGGAAAAAGAAAATTATTGAGGGGTCTCTTTATTTTGTTTATATGTGACTTGGAAAACACGGTAGCTTTTGAGTAAATAAATAAATAAATAGCTTTGATGGAAGATTTGAACAGAATTCGTGACTTATCGAAGTTTTCAGTATTAAATAAGTGCCAAAATATCAAATTTTAACAAAAATTAATCCATTGGACCTTCATTCTTGGACATCCAGTGGATGATCAAATGTCTTCTCCAAGGATAAGTACTTAGGATTAAAGTACTTATTGTACTTGGAGGTTTTTTTCTTATTTTTTATAATACATTCTGTGTCAAATCAACAAGGTGTTAAAAGGTGACCTCCAATTTGAACTAAATTTGGCAGGCTTAGTTGTACCTATTAGAAAGTGATTCACAGCAATTATTGGGTTCATTTAACTTCTTGTTCCTCAGATATGAGGTCATGAAAATTTGGGCTTTAATGCCTTCCAGTTGCACTCTGAGAGTCTTCTCTTCATAACTTCTGCCCTAATTGTGCTGGAGACCTCTTCTTGGGATTGTTTGAAAGCTCTTTTCATGTCCTTTTCAGAGATATGACTAGTTTTTGGCTAAATGCTAAATGCCAATTTTTAGGTCTGAATTTGTAGATCATATGGTCTTTAGATGCTCACTTTTGCAGTTAATCTTTTGACTTCGCCACCCACACCAATCTTGGCCTATACCATGTGATGTGGCATAAAAGTGCCACTCTGCTGTAATTCCAAAATCAGCCTCATGAAAGCAGAGGTTGCAGAAATTCTGTTTTATTTTCATACTGGCTAGTTGCACCATCTAAGAAATAGGTAATCTTCTTGATAGGGCCATCTTGCCTCCTCTTCATGCAACAGTGAAATGAGATGCTTCTGGAAGGTATAAACTGCAACTGTGTCATGTACATGAGTGTTGGATATGATGATGAAGCTCAAGTGTTGCAGTTCATTTCCATCATTCACATCTTTGTGAGGCATCTTAAAATAGCAAACAGAAGGATGAATTGTAGCCCAATTATTATTTCAATGAAATCCTTGTGCAGAACAAAGGAGTAGTTCTTTGTAAAATCTAGAATAACAATGACTTCCTCCTCAACAAGGTTTTACTTTGTCTCCTGAAGAAATGAAGATTGCTGCTGGGCAATGAAATCATGTTTTCTCATAATGATGATCTTTTCAAAGAATTAATCCTGAAACTCCTCAGTGCTTTTCACCTCTTTGACCAGAGAAGATCTATCTGTTGACACCTAATGCTGATGGAGTCCATCGTTCTGTCATCAAAGTCTTCTTGGAGCTAAGCAAGCACATGCCGCATTTGTATGCATGAAATAAAATAAAGTTTAAATTCCTCATTTTTACTTTGGATTCAATTGAAATAACACTGTTAAGTACATTCCCATAGGTGCCCATAATAATGTTTAATATTCACGTTAATCAATTTCATGCAAATGGCCTGATATCTCCATAAATTACCAA